GCAAGCGGCCGACAAACAGGGGCCTGCACGCCAAATGAGAGAAAACAGGGACGGAGAGGGACGACAGCAATGGCATTGCTGAAACTCGCCGACGGCGAGGTCCCCGGCTAAACGGAGGGCACCAACGTGCTCCCCATGCCAAACCGCGTCGGATAGAGGTGAATAGGGAGGGGCAGTGCAGGGGAAAAAGGCTCGGCGACGATAATGGCTTAGCGGCGGCGCGGGTAGTCGCCGGTGGAGCATCTCCGGCCACGGCATGGTGAAAGGAGGCGCTCGGGAGACTCAATGTCGCCGTCAGCGGTGCTTGTGTGCTGGCGAAGTAAAGGTAGGAAGAGGAGCGGGGAGGGGGAGTCCACGGAAGCGGAGCTCACCAGCGAGCTCGGCCGTGCTCCGGCGAGCAATTCCCAAGGACGGGATGCTTACCACGGCAAAACAGCGAGAGCACGGGGTGCGCGGGGTGACGGCGTGAGTCAGAGGCTAGATGGAGTGGTCACCGGCGCGAATGAGGTGGCCGGGCGAAGCGAAGCCTCCGGCAAAAGGCAGGCGCTTGTGATGGCGATGGCGATGGTGTGAGTGAGAGGAGAAGTGAGGAGCGCTGGAATGCGGTGGGGCGCTGGGATTCAAGTCATGGCCAAGAAGTGCAGTGCTGCTGCTGCTGCGGATCGCGTGTTAGGCCACCGTCGACGGGTGGCGCCACGCTGCTTGGGCAAGCCTCGACATTTGCCGGGCAGGCATGGCTTGGCACATGGGCATGGCAGGCAATGGAGGGAGGCAAAGGCAAAGGCTTTGAAGGTGGGCACGGCCGAGCGAGGCGAGGCGCCTGCTGGGATGCTGGGTGGGCGGCAGCAGAGGGCGGGCTGAAGCGAGGCATGTCCCTTGAAGGAGAAAAATCCTTTTTCCAAATATATTTTCAAGGAAAATTTTAAATGCCATCTTTCAAATATTATTTTGAGCAAGAAAATGACCTCTTTTGAAAATGAACCAAAAATGAAAGTTGCTTAGAATTTAATTCTCTACAACTTTGCTTTTAGGACCACAACCAAATTCTTTCTAGATTTTGAATTGTAAGATCAAAGTCTACGTTTAGCTCAAAACTCTAATTTTGGGAATTTATTTTTAAAGCCAAATTTTGAATTAATTTGAATACAAACATTGCTCCAAAAATTGAACTAAACATTGCTAGATGATTTACAATAGTAGCCAAACATGTTTTACTAACCTAGCAAGAAAATTCAGGGCAAAACAATTCTTAAACAGGTGTATGCAACATTCAGGTTTCACGCATGTTTCAGATGTTTCAAAGCAATGTTTCAATTGTTATTCACATGATTAAGCATGTATGATTTGGATGCTTGATGATGCATGATATGCATGATTTGCAGTGCCTAAATGTAGGCATAACACCGGGGTGTTACAGCTTGAAAGAGAAGTGGCTTGACCGCTGCGCTAGGATAGTGAGTTCGGGCGAATGGATTTTTTTTATTCTTTTAGTCGCTTCTTGCTGCAGTATTAAATAAGAAAATTAAAAATAGAAAATTTACCCCGTGTGAGTTTAAACCTAGGGCTGTGGGAAAGAATAGATAGGAATTTCAGTACAAAGACTTTTAAAAATAAAATACTAGGCCCGCTTAGGGCATCCAACTAGGGGGTGATATTGGAGAAGCTTATTATGATGTCCATACACACAAAGTTAACGATTGTATATATGCAAAAACTATATTAGGATGGTAAACTTAAAATATTCCATACTATTGATGGGTTTGGGTAACGCGGAATGGCCCTATTTGGCGATGGTCCGAGAAGGAAGATAAGCAAAACCAGTGAATACCTGATTTGGTACTCCTACTGAAAGCAAAGGGAAATCGAAAAGGATGTGAATTCTTCTTGTTTGTATATCTATCTCAGCCCTTGCTTTTTCTAAAAGTTATTTTTACATAGATGAAAAAAAGATAGGATTGAGGCGCATCTCTCCAATTGGTCGGCTAAGACAAAGCACTTCAAAGCAAAAGGTTTTGTTATTGAAAGCACTACTTTTACATATATATGAAGATGAGCTTTATCAAAAAAAAAACTTAGGGCGTGGCTATTTTTAGCGGTGGTTGACTAAAAATAACCGCATATGTTAATTCATATGTTGAGGCGGTTCTCTTAAGTAACCGTCTCTGAAAATAGAACACTTTTAGAAATTGTTTTATAACGAAGACCGCCTATGAAAATTCATTTTTAGGGGTGGTTCTCTTAACTCAACCGCCACTGAAAATTGATGGCTATCATAAGCGGTTTTCTTAATATAACCGCCCCTAAAAATGGATCTTCACAGGCGGTCATGAAGCTACAGTGCCCTCGGCGCGATTAGAGGCGGCGTGCTAGGTGAACCATCTCTGATTCAAAAGGGGGCGTCGCTGAAATTGATTTCTGTAGTAGTGTGAGCGACTCTCTCTGATAAAAAAAATCGAGTGACTCTCCTGCAGGGCGGAGGGTGGCAGCTCCTGCATGGGCGGGTGGCGGCTCCTGCCCCTGTATATATTTGTTTTGGTCTACTTTTATCATATGAATGATCAATATTTTCTTGTCCAATTAAGCCCCTGTAGCATGCATTACCTTGAGGGTTAGCTGCCAAGGAAACACGTCGAAACACTCAAGGAAATTGCTATTCCTTGAGAGTGTGAGCCCTCAGATAAAGTGATTTTTTTGAAAGTTCATTTGTGTTACCTTGGCAGTACTAGCTCTCAAGAAAATATATAACCTTGGGGGCTCACGCAAATTACCTTGGCGATAATAAACCCTCAAGAAAATATATATCCTTATGGGGCATCTATATATCCTTGGGGTCGTTAGCCCTCAAGAAACTTCATATCCTTGAGTGTTGCTCCATTTCTTTGGGGGTCGTTAACCCTCAAGAAAATGCAAATCCTTGAGTGTTGTTTCATTTCCTTGGCGGTGATAAAAATCTGACCGCTTATGTGTTTCCTTGGTGGTTCAACCCTCAAGGAATTGATTTATGGAGGCCGACACCCAAGGAAATAGCTATTTCCCTGTCTCTCTATCCTTGGCGGCCATTCCTTGAGTGTTAGCCACTAGTATCGATTTCCTTTGTTGTTTTGGGGTTTTCCTTGAAAGTTTTCGACCCTCAAGGATATTTTAGTAATGTGGTAGTGAGAGGGGTTGGTCTTATCTCAGTAGGAACAAGTCTAAATGGCAATCTCCATGTTTCGCTCGTCCAAAATAGGTTAGAAACTAATTTGGCAACAAACCGAGTTGGTTTTATGGAGAGTCGGCTGAGCCGACTTTTTGCGGGCTTGGGCAGATGGTTCATCTGGCCAGGAGGCCAGGGGGAGTCAGCTAAGCCAACTAGAGGTGCTGAATCAGCTAAGTCGACTGGCTTGGGGCTCGCGTGGCTCGTCGTCTTCTCCGCACGTTTCTTTTGCTATTTTGATATATCAATTGACCTCCAACATGCATGTATATGTAGTATATAACTTGTTGGCGATGGCCACGATCCACCTCGGGACACTTTTGAGTGTCAACAGTACATATCTACTTGGTACTTCTATATATAACCTACAAATCATGCACGAAACATGCCTCTGCGTGCGATGGCGTGCGAATTGTACTAGTACTTTTGATTCCCGGTACGCTTCCTCCGCGGGTTCACGCTAGCTTAGCAACCACCTGGTGTTCGTCATACTTTACAGCAGCTCCTGCAGCAGGCAGCCAGAGGTTTGAAGTTTTTAGTCAGATCAGATGGATGGGAGATATATAATCCAGGTGGGTAGTGTAATAACTGCGATAGTTTGAACTTACACATCAAACAGATGGGGAGACGTTGGTTCACTGAATCACGTCCTCATAGCATAATATATACTCCCCCAGTCCCTAAACAACTGTGGGTTTTTCGCTTTTCGAGAAATGACTTTGACTAATTTATATAAAAATATTAATATTTATCGTATATAGTTAATACCATTAGATAGGTCATTACATCTATTTTAATAATAAATTTATTTGAAGATACAAATGTTACATGCATTTTATATAAATCTAGTTAAACTTATGGCATTGAAACTAAAAATAACAGTTATTTAGGGACGGAGGGAGTATGCACGAGTTGTCCAGAACCATATAGTCAACACAATTATTATTTTGACTACTTTTTTTTTCTTTCCAAAATGTACCTTAGCACAGTTTTTTATTAAATGGAAATCAGGAAACAGAATATATACTATTATCAGACGATGAAAATACTGATAGAACCATGGATTTGATTTAACTCGGCAGTGGGACGACACACGGAGTAGCAGACAACAGCAGGTCTGCTTTTCTTCTAGCAGTGATTCCCATGGTGTCAGTCATGTCCATCTCACTCGGAACGACGCCCTCCGGCAGGCTCCAGTCGAAGTGGAACAGCAAGCTCGATATAATTAGCCAGCCCAAACGCCATCCCAGGGCAAATCCGTGGTCCAGCTCCAAACGGTGTGAACTCGAAGTCGTTGCCCCTGAAATCCCTCGCGTCACCCACAAACCTCTCAGGATCGAACGTCTCCGGGTCCTCCCAGTAGTCCGGGTTGTTCCTGGATGTTGAGGCATCGTGTACAGACGACCCGGTCAAGGCAACCGCGACGGCAGTTCGCGCAGCTCACCACGACGCCACGCGCTCACGCGTCCAGCAGAGGCGGTTCTCACCGCATGTAATAGCGATTGTAATAAACATTCATGAGATCAACACGCAATCGTTGTTGGCTCCCATTCTACATGGTATCAGCAGCTCGGGTCTCTTCCTGCCCCGTTTTCTCGCGTCTCATCTAACCGCCCCGCTCGGCGCCGCCGGCGCGCTCGCTGCCCATCCTTACCTAGCTCTCCCCACCCTTCCCGCTGCCATGGATGTCAACCCCCTCTTCAACGCCAATCTCTCCGACGGCGACAACTCCTCCGCTTCCTCCATCAGCGGGGAGTCGTTCACCGGCCCCGCTCCCACCGTCACGACTCCACCCGTCGCTGTGCTACAGACGGTGAACATCCGTGTTCACGTTCCCGTCGAGCTCAGCATCACCGACTCGAACTACACGGAGTGGCGCTGCTTCTTCGACGCCTTCGTTGGGAAGTTCGGGCTCAGTTCTCATCTGTCTTCCCCGCCCACCCCTGCCGACCGTCGCGACTCGGACTGGATCATCCGCGATCACTGCCTGCTGAGCTGGATCTACAACTCCATCTCCTAGGATGTCCGCGCCATCGTCCGCGCACCCAGGGCTACGGCGTACACGGTCTGGAACGCCATCCACGACCAATTCCGGGACAACTAGCTGCACCGTGCTGTCTACCTCGAAGCCGAGTTCCGGAATCTTCTTCAAGGTGACATGGACATCACCGCGTACACCGGGAGGCTCAAGCAGCTCGCCGATGCCTTGCACGACGTCGGCCAACCCGTTCGTGAGACCAGCCAGGTGCTCAACCTCCTCTGCGGCCTCAACTCCAAGTATCGTCACGCGATCCCGGTCATCTCTGCGCGGCAACCACCCCACACCTTCCTCTCTGCTCGCTCTACCTGCTCCTGGAGGAGCAGTACGACAAAGAGCACGCCAAGGCTGTCGCTCACCGCGCCCTCGTGGAGACCGGCGGATTTGGTGGTTCCCGTCCACCTGCTCCACCCACCGGCGATGGTGGCTTCAGCTCTACCAACTCCGGCTCCAGGCAACTGCCAACACCCGCGCCCGCCTACGGCAACCCGCCTCGCTTCGACAACAATCGGGGGTCGAAGAAGCGCGGCCGTGGCCGCGGCGGGCCACCCTCCGGTTCTACACCTCGTGCTTCCGCTCCGGCTCCTGGATGGGCTCCCGGCCTGAACCCGTGGACCGGCATGGTCCAGGCGTGGCCCATGCCGTTCTGGGTCCCAGGCGCCGGCGTTCTCGGTCCACGGCCTGGCACTCCGATCAACCAGGCTTACTTCGCCGGGAACGTGACCCACCCGACCACCAGCGTTCCTGTCAACGGATCAGGCTTGCCAACGGCTAGGCCTGTCCGAGTCTTCAGCGCCTCCAACCTCCTGCGCACGACGCGCTCTCGCCGCGCCCAACGATCCGTAGATCGCGCGCACTCGCCGCACTCGCTGCATGCGCGCCCGGTCATCGCGCGCCCACGCTGCCGCTTCTAGCACTCGCCCGCACACGCATGTGTAGCTGCGGCCAATGGCCACCGGTTGTACTCTATATATGTAACGCTTGTGGAATGAATACATTTGTCGAGTTGGCCTATTTCACTCTACATGGTATCTTTCGCCTAGGTTCTTCTTCTTCCTTCAACCACTGCTTCCGCCTCTGCTTCAATGGCGCCCTCTTCTGTTCACTCTGACTCCTCCTCCGATGATGGCTACCCCGTCGTTCCTGCCGCCGCCTCACACATTCAAGGCATCTCCATTCGCCATCACGTACCTGTCATCCTCGACATGGACGAAGGCAACTTCGGCCAGTGGCGCCTCTTCTTCGACTCGACTCTCTGCAAGTTCGGTCTTCAAGGCCACGTTCGCTCCATCACCCCCGACGATGAACGCGATGGCGAGTGGCGCATGGTGGACGCCTGCGTCATCAACTAGATCCTCGCCACGGTCTCCAAAGGGGTCTTCGACATCATCCGCCGTGATCGCCATGACGCGTTCACTCTCTGGAACGCCGTGATCAGCATTTTCCAGGACAACGAGCTGCAACGCGCCGTCTACCTGGAGGCCGAGCTGCGCACGCTGCAGCAAGGCGACATGACCATCAACGCCTATTGCACCAAGCTCAAGCGACTCGCCGATCAGCTGCGCGACATCGGCCATCCCGTCTCCGAGCCGAGCCAAGTGCTCAACCTTCTTCGCGGCCTCAACCCGAAGTATCGCTACGTCAAGCCTGTGATCACGTCCAAGTACCCGCCGCACACCTTCATGAGTGCGCGGTCCTTCCTCATCCTCGAAGAACTCGGCGCTGATCATGACGCCACAGCCGAGGCTGGCCAGGCGCTCACCGCATCCCACGGCGATCGCTCCGGCGGCAACTCCACCAACGCCGCCAAATCCACCAACGACGGCTCCTCCGGCTCCACTGCACCGCGCAACAACCCTCGCTCTAACAACAACCGCGCCAACAACCGGTCTGATCGCCGGCGCGGACGCGGCGGTGGCGGTGGATCCTCGCGCCAGGACAACCCCAACGGCCAGAACACGCCTTGGACCGCCGGCTACAACCCCTGGCAAGGTATGGTGCAGGCGTGGCCCATGCCGTTCCGTGCTCCAGGTGCTGGCGTCTTGGGGCCCCGACCGCTGTTCCAGGCCCCGCAAGCTATGGCGGCCATGCAGCTGCCACAGCAATCGCCGGGCGGCTCCAGCGACAGCTTCAACACCAGCGCTCTCCATGCCGCTCTTCAGTCCACCGGCGTTCCTCATCCACCCCCATCTGCATCGGACTGGTATTTTGATACTGGGGCGACGTCGCACATGTCCTCCTCTTCTGGTAACGTTCTTCCTTCCACTCTCCGGCCTGCCTCATCTCTGATCACCGTAGGCAATGGCACACACTTACATTCCTACTGCCACCACTCCTCTTCAGCTCAATAATGTTCTTATTTCCCCTTCTTTGATTAAGAACTTAATCTCTGTTCGTCGTTTAACTCGTGACAACAATATTTCCATTGAGTTTGATCCCTCTGGTTTCTCTATAAAGGACCTTCCTACCAGGGAGGAGATGCTCCGATGTGAGAGCAGCGGCGACCTCTACCCACTCCGTCTACCACAGCATCAGGCACTCACCACTTCCTCGCCAACGTCCCTCTGGCATCAGCGATTGGGACATCCCGGCAATCCAGTGACTGCCCAAGTTCTTCAGCATTTTCCATTTCACTGTAATAAGACTGCTGCCCATTCCTGCACTTCATGCCGATTGGGCAAGCACGCTCATCTTCCTTTTACAGATTCTGCATCTAGAACATATTTTCCTTTTCAAATTGTTCATTCACATGTCTGGACATCACCAGTTTACAGTCACTCTGGTTATAAATATTATGTGGTTTTTCTTGATGATTATACTCACTACCTATGGACCATTCCTCTTTGAAATAAATCTGATGTCTTTCCCACAGTTCGCACGTTCATTGCATACGTTCACACTCAATTCCGCCTCCCCATTCTAGCTTTCCAGACCGACAATGGCCGCGAGTACGACAGCACCGCCATGCGCCTCCTTCTCTCCTCTCTCGGCACCCAGCTGCGGCTTTCCTGCCCGTACACTTCACAACAAAACGGAAAGGCCGAACGAGTTCTCCGTACCATTAACGACTGTTTACGTACAATGCTAATTCACAGTGCAGCTCCTTTGGCATTCTGGGCCGAGGCACTCACCACGGCTACCTACCTGATCAACCGGCGCCCGTGCCATGCCACCGGCAACACGACGCCGTACGCTGTACTCTTCGGCATGCTGCCATCCTACACCGAGCTGCGTGTTTTTGGGTGCCGATGCTTCCCCAACTTAATCGCCACATCCGCCACAAGCTCGCTGCTCGGTCCACACCGTGCGTCTTCATCAGCTATCCGGCGGACCACCGCGGCTATCGGTGCTACAATGTCGCCACCGGGCGCGTGATCACGTCGCGGCACGTGGTCTTCAACGAGACGGTCTTCCCGTTCCGTGACACGGCGCTCCCAGCCAACACTTCTCCGCAGATCGAGACGCTTGATCCACTGCCCGCGGCTCCTGGCGTGGTTCACACCGTGCCCTCACCTCCGCCTCCGCCGCCCCGTCTGGTTAACGAACTGGCGCCACACCCCACGCGCACACGCACCGCACGCGGGGGACGTCCTCTGGTTGCTGCTGCGTCGACTTCACCACCCGCCACGGCATCAACGAGCAACTCCGCCAGCTCGTCATCTACGACCATGACCTCGTCAGCACCGGGCACGCCATCACCTGCATCGCCTACCTCCGCACCCAGGCCTTCGCGCGACGTCGCAGCTCCCGGCCACCCGATGGTCACCAGAGCGCGACGACATCTACAAGCCAAACCCGAAGTACGCCATGGCGGTCTCGCAGGCGCACATCTCGCCTATCCCGAAGAGCGTCCGCACTGCGGTCAAGGACCCCAACTGGTACGCCGCCATGAAACTAGAGTTTGACGCTCTTCAGGCCAATCAAACATGGACCTTGGTTCCCCGGCCACCGGGCGCTCGAATTATCACAGGCAAATGGGTCTTCAAGCACAAGATGAATCCCGACGGTACCCTCGAGCGCTACAAGGCTCGGTGGGTCGTCCGCGGGTTCAATCAACGGCCAGGCGTCGATTTCGGAGAGACCTTCTCGTCGGTGATCAAGCCGGCGACGATCCGCACCGTGCTGACACTTGTGGCTACATACGGCTGGCCAGCTCACCAGCTTGATGTGTCAAATGCCTTTTTACATGGCAATCTACAGGAACAGGTGTACAACCAACAACCCACAGGCTTCGTCGATCCTCAGCATCCCGACGCCGTCTGCCTGCTGTCGCGGTCTCTCTACGGCCTGCGGCAGGCACCCCGGGCGTGGTTCGAGCACTTCGTCGGCCATGTGACGTCGCTCGGCTTCGTCCAGTCCAAAGCGGACTCGTCGCTCTTCGTTCTTCGCCACAACAGCGCCACTGCCTACCTCCTCCTCTACGTGGACGACATGATCCTCTCCGCGTCTTCGTCAAGCTTGCTCCAACATGTCATCGCACGCCTCCACGACGCGTTTGCCGTCAAGGACATGGGTCCGGTGCGCCACTTCCTCGGCATCAGCGTGTGCCGGAACCGCTCCGGCTTCTTCCTCTCGCAAGCTCAGTACGCCGAAGAGCTGCTCGACCGCGCTGGAATGACGAACTGCAACACCGCCCCCACCCCAGCTGACACCAAGCTGAAGCCGTCAACACACGACGGCAAGCTCATCGACGACGCCACGACATACAGGAGCATCGCCGGCGCCTTGCAGTACCTGACCATCACCCGTCCGGACATCGCTTACGCCGTTCAACAGGTCTGTCTCCACATGCACGCTCCTCGCGACGTGCACCAGACCATGTTGAAGCGCATCCTTAGGTACATCAAAGGGACCGTCAGCCTCGGCATCCAGCTGCGCACGGCCACGACGCCGGCGATCACCGCGTACTTGGACGCGGACTGGGCGGGCTGCCCTGACACACGACGATCAACATCCGGCTTCTGCGTCTTCTTTGGGGGCTCCCTCATCTCGTGGTCCTCAAAACGACAGACCACAGTCTCTCGATCGAGTGCGGAGGCCGAGTACCGCGCCATCGCCAACGCCGTCTCTGAGTGTTCCTGGCTTCGCCACCTCCTCTGCAAAGTACCAACAGCAACGGTGGCATTCTGCGACAATATCTCCTCGGTGTATATGTCGCGGAATCCCGTTCATCACCGGCGTACAAAGCACATTGAGCTCGACATTCATTTCGTCAGAGAGAAGGTAGCCATTGGAGAGCTCCGCGCGACACACGTTCCGAGTGCACGCCCGATCGCAGACGTGTTCACCAAAGGTCTCCCGTCGGCGCTGTTCTTCGACTTCCGGGACAGTCTCTCCGTTCAAGCCACCGACGTCGAGACTGCGGGGGGTGTCAACGGATCAGGCTTGCCAACGGCTAGGCCTGCCCAAGTCTTCAGCGCCTCCAACCTCCTGCGCACGACGCGCTCTCGCCGCGCCCAACGATCCGTAGATCGTGCGCACTCGCCGCACTCGCTGCATGCGCGCCCGGTCATCGCGCGCCCACGCTGCCGCTTCTAGCGCTCACCCGCACACGCATGTGTAGCTGCGGCCAATGGCCACCGGTTGTACTCTATATATGTAACGCTTGTGGAATGAATACATTTGTCCAGTTGGCCTATTTCACTCTACAGTTCCACCACAAGCTCCAGGTCCTGATGTCTGGAATCACCAGGCGCTGCTCACCGCGCTCGCCACTGCTGGCGTTCCACCGACCGGCCCACAAGCTACGGAGTGGTTGTTGGACACCGGCGCCTCCTCCCACATGTCCTCTAACGCCGGTAATTTCTACTCTCCTCAACCCTTGCCGTTCTCTCCACCCATCACTGTCGGTAACGGCGCGACGCTGCGCGTCACTCACCGGGCATCGACGGCCATTGCCACCTCACAGTCACCACTTCATCTACACAACGTCCTTGTGTGACCCTCCCTAGTTAAAAATCTAATTTATGTTCGCTCTCTTACTCGCGACAACAATGTCTCCGTTGAGTTTGATCCATTCGGCTTTTCTGTCAAGGACCTTCCCACACGCACGGAGATTCTCCAATGTAACAGCCATGGCGAGCTGTATCCGCTGTCTTCCTCTTCGCCGAAGCCATGCTCACCACCTCGCCCACCGTCGACATGTGGCACCAACGTCTGGGTCATCCTGGCAAAAACACAGTTCGCCAGACGCTGTGTGCAACCTCGACTTCTAGTTCGCCAAGTCTTCTTCTTCAACCTGTCAAGCTTGTCAATTAGGGAAACATGTTAGATTGCCTTTTTCATCTTTGAACTCTATTAGTTTGGTTCCTTTTCAGCTTGTACACACTGATGTCTGGACATCGCCTATTGTCAGTTTCTCTAGGTTTAAATATTATATCTCGTTCTAGTTGATGATTATACCCATTATGTTTGGACGTTTCCTTTACGTGCAAAATCTGAGGTCCTGCGGTGTCTACTTGAGTTCCACGCCTATGTCACAACTCAATTTTAGCCACGGTTTTAAATCTCCTGCTAAGCCTCTTAGCGATTGAAGTCTGCAAAAGCTACGAGCAGCTATAGTGGGCTATAGCTCCACCTAATTTGTTTAGCGGTTTTGAAAAAAAGAGACAAAAATCATTGATCAGTTCACATATTCATCAGTCATCGCTCATCAGTTCACAAGAACAGAGCTCCAGGACCATCACAAGACGTTTGGCATAACATATACAATGCTCATCATCAGTTCAAGCACAAATGCAATGACGAAACATTATCAGATCAATCAGCACGGTGGGTGCCAAGCCCAAAGCGCTCAGAACTACGGGTCATCCGCTGACAATTGGATGAGTCCGCTTGATTTTTGCCCAGCAAAGCAGTTAGCGGCCGCAAAAAGAGGCTTATTAGCGGCTATAGCGGGCTAAATACAGCTATTAGCGGCAGCTAACTCATAGCGGCAAAAAGTGAATTATCCTAGTGGTTTGTCTTCCTAGCAGCTATCTCCGGCTATAGCGGCAGCTATAGCCGGAGATTTAAAATCTTGATTTCAGCTACCCCTCATTGCACTGCAATCTGACAATGGCAAGGAATTTGATAATCTTGCTGTTCGCCAACATCTTGCTGCACATGGTGTGTCAGTCAGACTGTCTTGTCCATACACCTCATCCCAAAATGGAAAGGCAGAACGCATCATCTGAACTCTGAATGATTGTGTCCGCAGTCTTCTTCTTCATGCTGGGATGCCTGGATCATACTGGGTGGAAGCACTGAACACTGCTACTCACCTTCTGAATCGGCGCCCGTGTCAGACCAGTGGCCACTACACTCCCTTCCAGCTTCTGCTCGGCATCCCACCCACCTATGATCACCTTCGGGTGTTTGGGTGCTTGTGCTTCCCCAATCTGTCGTCTACGGCTGCGCACAAACTCAGCACCCAGTCCACGCCGTGCGTTCTACTTGGATACCCTGCTGATCATCGTGGCTATCGATGTCTTGATCTTCAGAGTCGTCGTGTCATCACTTCTCGTCATGTGGTTTTTGATGAAACCCAATTCCCATTCCATTCTGTTGCTCAGCCATCTCAGCCGACAATAGCCAGACCGGCTACAGTACCAGACACCACTGTCATCATTCAGCAGCAGGCACCCGTCCTACAGCGCGTCGTTCCCACACCTGTGTCCGACAGTGCCACGACTTCCTCACCAGCGCGACCCACCCCCATTGTGCAGCCCTCGCCATCCTCATCGGCTCACGCCTCGCCGTGTGCGGCATCATCGCCGCCGGCCGCTCCATCACCGCCCGCGAGCCACGCTGCTCCGGTCGTTCACCAGATGATTACTCGATCACGAGCAGGGATCGTCAAACCCAATCCCAAATATGCCATGAGCGCCGAATCATCTTCTTCTCCGGCGCCGGCGTCCATCTCCCCAATTCCCTCTTCAGTTCGCGCAGCCCTGAAAGACCCAAATTGGCATGCGGCCATGGCACTGGAGTTTCAGGCGCTGCAGAATAATCGCACATGGCGCCTTGTCGATCATCCGCCCGGCGCTCACATAGTCACGGGAAAATGGGTCTTCAAGCACAAGCTCAATTCCGACGGGTCCCTAGAGCGCTACAAAGCCCGTTGGGTGGTGCTTGGGTTCACCCAGCAAACCAGCGTCGATTTCGGCGAAACATTCACGCTGGTCGTCAAACCCGCCACCATTCGCATTGTCCTCACCATTGCTGCATCCAAGGGCTGGAGCACCAAACAACTAGATGTCTCAAACGCTTTCTTGCACGGTCATCTTAAAGAGCATATTCTTTGCCATCAGCCTACAGGTTTTGTCGACACCGCTCAACCCAATGCTGTTTGTCTCCTTGACAAATCACTCTACGGCCTTCCTCAGGCCCCCCGTGCCTGGTTCGAGCGCTTCGTCGCCTATGCCATCACCCTCGGGTTCAAGGCAACGCGCTCTGATTCTTCTCTGTTCACTCTTCGCCACGGCCACGACGTCGCGTATCTATTGCTGTACGTGGACGACATCGTCCTCACAGGCTCCAGTCCACATCTTCTCCAATCTATTGTCGATCGTCTACGCTCCGAGTTTGCTGTCAAGGACATGGGCGCACTTCACTTCTTTCTCGGAATCGACGTCAAGCGCAACGACGACGGTTTCTTCCTGTTCCACGAGCGGTACGCCGAGGAGATTCTCGAGCGCGCCGGCATGACTACATGCAAGCCGGTGGCCACTCCCGTCGACGCCAAGGGCAAGCTGTCTTCTTCCGATGGCGATGCGATTGATGACCCCAAGACGTACGGCAGCTTGGCTGGCGCACTCTAGTACCTAACGGTGACGCGCCCCGATCTTGCCTTCGCCCCGATCATCTGACGCTGCTCAAGAGGATTCTTTGCTACGTTCGCGGAACAACATCACTCAGTCTTCATATCCGCGCGCCCACCGACCTCTCTGTCACGGCCTACTCGGACGCGGACTGGGCGAGCTGCCAGGACACTCGACGATCAATGTCCGGGTTCTGTGTCTTCCTCGGCGAGTCCCTCGTCTCCTGGTCGTCGAAGCGCCAGCCCACCGTGTCCTGGTCCAGCGCGGAAGCGGAGTATCGCGTGGTGGCGAATGTAGCCGCGGAATGCATTTGGCTGCGCCAACTGCTCAACGAATTGTACTGCAGCATCACCAACATTGGCGGATCCACGTGAGAGTGATTTTGCTTTGTATTTACTGTAGAAAAAACATAATTTCACCATTAATCTTCGACATTTGTTCTAAATCTCTATTGATTAGCCCCCGAGGTGCTCATCTTGGCTCCGCCACTGATCACCAAGGCCACGGTGGAATACAACGACAACATCTCCGCTGTCTACATGTCGTCCAAACCTATACATCACCGGCGCACCAAGTACATAGAGCTGGATATTCACTTCGTCCGGGAACGAGTCCAGCTAGGCGAGCTGCGTGTCCTACACGTTCCGACAGGTGAACAATTCGCCGACGTGATGACCAAGGGCCTCCTGACAGCGACATTCGAGGCGTTCCGCTCCAGTCTTTGCGTTGTTCCCACTACACGTCAGACTGGGGGTGGGGGGGTGTTGAGGCATCGTGTACAGACGGCAGTTCGCGCAGCTCACCACGACGCCACCCGGTCAAGGCAACCGCGACGGCAGTTCGCGCAGCTCACCACGACGCCACGCGCCCACGCCACGCACTCACGCGTCCAGCAGAGGCGGTTCTCACCGCATGTAATAGCGATTGTATAAAACATTCATGAGATCAACACGCAATCGTTGTTGGCTCCCATTCTACACTGGAGATCGCCCACGCGTTCACGAGCACCATGGTGCCCTTGGGCACGTCGTAGCGAGCACGCGGCTGTGTTCTTGGCATTCCCCTGACCTCGGCTTGCGCCTTGGACATGGCAGCAGGGTTCCTCATCAGCTCCGCCGTCGCCCACTGGAGTGTTGATGCTGCCGTCTCGATCCCCCCAGCGATAAGATCCTACAAGTTCACGGAAAACAAAATTTATGAAAAGAGAAGTTAAGAAGCTTAGAGCTTTTGTACTGAACTTAGCAAACAATACTTACAAATATGACTGCTTCGATTATGCTCATGGTGAGAGGGAACTTCAGGTTTCCCTCCTGCTGGATTCGGAGGAGAACGTCGACCAAGTCCTCCTGATCATGAACTTCTTCTTCTCCACCACATGATTTCTTCCTCTCCAGGTGCTCACGGACCACTCCATCCATGAAGGCGAACAAGGACTCGCGGAAGTCTTCCACCCTGCGCACCGCTCGGCGCAAGGTCAGCACGCGAACAAGCAGCGACGAGCCGACGACGGGAACAGGTCGATGGGCGTGAACTCCCCCGCCAACCGGACGCTCTCGTCAACGTAGCGCAGCAGGGTGTCCGTCTCCTTGAACCGCCTGCCCACGATGGCGCGCACCGACGCGTCAGCGATGTACACGGCGACCAGCTTGCTGAGGTCGACGAGAGGTGCCATCGCCGCGGCCGAGTCGACGACGGCTTGGACCAGCCAGACCGCCTCCTCCTCGCGCACGGGCGCGAACGACCGGACGCGCCTGGCGCTGAGCAGCTCCATGATGCAGATCTTGCGGAGCTGCCGCCAGTGGTCGCCGTACGGAGCCAGCACGATCCCTAGGCCGTCCTTGGTGAACACGCTGGCGTTCAGCGTCATTGGCCTTGTCGCAAAGATGGCGTCGTGGGTCTTCATGAACACTTTCGCGGCGTCCGGCGTGGATGCGACGACCACCGGGACCTCGCCGAACTTGAGGAACATGAGAGGGCCGTGCCGGAGAGACAGGTCTCGCAGAGCGCGGTGGACAAGGGAGCCGCGGAGATGGTGGATGCTGCGGATGATAGGTAGCTGCCATGGGCCTGGAGGGAGCCGAAGTCCATGGCTACGAGACCCGAGGGAAGTTCTCCACCAGAACTTGACAACAATAAAGCATAGAAGTGGAAGAAGAGCTAGCAGGCAGTAGTAGTACGCACCGTTGTCCATGCTGGGGAAATTTGGGTTTTGGTTACTGTGTGGACTTGAAGATTTCCACTAGTCAAGTTGTTCCTTATTTTTATTCCATACATACATTGATACATATATATGTTGCTGGCTGCTAACTCTCTCTATATATACCTGCTAACCTAGTACAAGTCAAATCTTGTGAATTGTGATAGAGCCCAACCAGTTAGGTATCCATCCGAAAACTTAAGTCTCGGTGCAACTACCTCATATTATATATTGAAGATGCACAAATAGTTTTGCAAAAGGATAATATTGATCGCTTATTACACCTGTCCACTACCGGAATCCTCAAATTTGCCGAGTGTTTTATGTTTGCCGAGTGTATTCCCTCGGGCACTCGGCGAACAAGTTCTTTGCCGAGTACCCGCTAAAAACACTCGGCAAACAAGACGTTTTGCTGAGTGTCAAAACAAAAACACTCGGCAAAGAGGTTGTTTGCCGAGTGTTAAAAAAATACACTCGGCAAAGAAATAAAAAACTTTTTTCTGGAAAAGAAGGAGAAGAAAAAAATAAAAAAAAACTTTGCCAAGTGCTCAAATCTAAAACACTCAGCAAAAAAAAGTAGGAGAAAAAAAATTAAAAAAAACTTTGCCGAGTGCCCCATCTGGGACACTGGGCAAACAAAAAAAACCTACTTAACCTAACCGCGTCCCCAGCACCCCACCCGCGCCCTACTGTCCCCACCCCTTCTCTCTCCTCCCGGCCCCCAGCGCCCACTCTTCTCCCGACGGCGCCACCTCCCTCCCCTCCTCTCCCGGTCGCTCCCTTCTTCCCCGCCCCTCCCTTCTTCCCCGGGGTGGCCTCCCCACCGGCGAGATCCGACGGCCGGTGCCGCCCCCTCCCTCCCTCCCTCCCCCAACGGCGAGATCCAGGGAGGGGCCCCAGCGGCGCACCCCAGGCGGTGGTGGAGGGGTGGCCCGGCGTTGCGGGCGCGGCACGGATCCATGGCGTGGCGTCTCTCTCCCTTCGACGGCGCCCTCTCTCCTCCCTCCGGTGGCGGCGTGGCGCAGGGAGGCCGGACCCGGTGGCAGCGCAGCGTGGGGAGGCCGGATCCGACGGCGGCGTGGCACGGGGAGGGCGGATCCGGTGGTGCCCTTTCTCCCTCCTACGGCGCCCTCTCTTCTCTCTCCCTCTGATGGTGGCGTGACACGGGGAGGCCGGATCTGGTGGCGGCGTGGCACGGGGAGGCCGGATCCGGTGGTGGCGCGGCATGGGGAGGCCGGATCTGGCGGCGCCCTTTCTTCCTTCGGCGGCACCCTCTCTTCTCTCCCCCTCCGATGGTGGCGCAACGCGGGGAGGCTAGATCCGGTGGCGGCGGTGGCGGGCCAGCGCCGGTGCGAGCGGGGTGGCCGGATCCGGCGGCGCCCTTTCTTCCTCCGGTGGCTGATGCTTTTTTATTTTTTTCAAAAATGTTTACCGAGTGTTTTTGGGGCACTTGGCAAAGTCTTCGCCGAGTGCCCGACGAAAAACACTCGGCAAAACAGCGTTTGCCGATAAACCAGTTGTCAAGTGTCGTTTGCTGAGTGTAACACTCGACAAATGGTTTGCCGAGTGTTTTGGGGGCTTTGCCGCTCCTGTATCCGGTAGTGGTCGTTTTTTCTCATCATTAATGTGCATTTTTTTCACTTAGTGCTGCAGCTATTTCCGGTCTGAATGAAGTTGATGAATTTCAGGGGTTGCTCGGTTAACTTGATATCCACTATAGTTGAATCAATCCATGCTCTCGCACGGGTTAGAATCTTAGGAGATAAGCATTAATTTCGTTTAATACCCCTAAATAAAAAATTACTTATTATAAACTTTACGTGTTTTCTCTTTGTTTATTTTCTAACACAATATGTATAATATAGTACATTATAGCCTCTATCTAGTTATGTTAAACTTATGAATTATTAATCTATATATATATATATTTTATTCGTATCCATAGTTTTTTCCCATTTGCGTGGCACCTCTGTGTATCTTTAATATGCATTTAAGCATGGTTCGGTTGCTAGGAAATGATGCCCTAGAAAGATTCGTACCAGGAATGCTAGGCTAATTTATATAGCCTTTGACGAGGTGGAACCAATCCTGGGTAGGAATCTGGCTAACCAAACGAGCCCTTAGTTGAAATCTTAGCTTAGACTATAGTGGCTCTTGTTATAGCCCATGTCTTGTAACGTTATGAACCTAAATTTTGATTTTCCAATATCAGTCTTATTGAATGCTACACAATTTTTATCCTCAACTTAAGTTGGTGAAACTCTGGTATTTATTGTATCTTTTATTAACGTCCTTCTATATATTTTTTAAAATAATGACTTTAGGTTGTAAACCACACTATTAAGGACTATGATTATATAAATAATCATTTAAAGCCTACACCATATTGTTTAAGATTAGTGGTAGAGCTTAAAAGATCAGTGGTAGACTGCATTCTTGAAGACGCTCTTAGATAGTACACTCCCTTCGCTTGGAATGATAAGCGTATTTATAACGAGAAAGTTATTTTTTTTACAATTTTTTATCAACAGTTAGTCATAATATATATTTATATACAAGGTTGGGAGCTAGGACACAATAACTTGTATCAATAAGTTCGTATCCAAAGTGTCTCTGAGACGACGCTGTTTTCTTTTTTAGCAAATATATTATAAGGTAAATTAAGAGTCAAAATCTATTATTTTCTTTGACTTGTCTATGTTTAAAATGCGATTATCATTATGGAACGGAGGGAGTAACGGTTAAAGTATGACACAGAGATCGTAAACTGCACCTTAAAATCATATGGAATAATGTGTACTACCCCTTATGTTCCAAATTATAAGACATTTTGGTTTTTCTAGATACAATTACTTTTACTATGTATTAAACATAGTATATATTAGGTGCATAGCAAAAATTATGTATCTAGAAAATTCAAAATATTTTATAATTTAGAATAGAGAGTACATCTATATGCTGCCAAAAGAGAGCCAAAATAGTCACAAATAAAAAAAACGAGAAATATGAAAAAAAATCAGTTAACTAGTTACATCACAAGTGGCACTAATTAATTTTCTGCGGCCACGGTCACCCGATAATCCCCATTGGCATTCAAGGTCGTCATCGTCTTGTTCGCCCGCCCAGCTTCATGGTCTGGACTCGATGTTGGCCACCTGGCATAGATCAACACTCCTCTCGACCGTGCACTCCCAGCCGCCATGGGCCCTTGTGACCTTGAGCACCTCGAGGTCGTCCTTCACCAAGCGGACGATGCGCACTCACCTCCGCTGACGACTCGGAGGTTCTCCCTGTCACCTGCCAAATTGTAGTTGTAGACATCGTCCGTTCTTTTAGGACCTTTCAACATTATTTAGGCTTATTTATGGAAATCAAATGAATTTGATGCTTATATGGTATCATTATTGTTTCTATGCTTGATTTAATCTAGTGGTAGCATATGACATGTTTGTGGGCTTGTAAACCTAGTGTTTAATTTAGAAGATGAGCTATAAGTGTTTAACTCAACATGATACAAGATAACCCTTATTTGGAGGTATGAAGAAGTTTTTTCTTGGATCAAACCGAGTTAAATATTTTTGATAAATATTCTAGTTTGAACCAAATTTAAAAATATGATCATCACCTCATTGATTGACATTGATAATCTCACCTAAGTAGTCTTAATTTGAACCTTTGTGGTCATTAATAACAGAGGGGGAGAAGATGACAAAGATAAAATAAAAGAATGACAAAGGGGAAGTACTTGATATAGGGGGAGATATGACAAAGGAAATGGATCAATTAAAAACTGAGCACACAAGTAGGGGAAGCAAGCTCATGAACTTTTTTGAGACGACGCCTTTCGACGCGTATTTCATTAAGCAGAAAGAGAGTTTTAAGCGAAACAACAAACTCGGTAATACTCTGATTACCAAGGCCAACACACACGCACCCACCGGACAACACAGGGTACTACATGATTGAACCAAATTTAAGAACTCCACGGGACTGCGCTCAGCGTCCAGACAGAAGGATGCCGAGCTGCCTGTACCCAGCCATTCGCCAGTCCTCCGCGATGACGCGAATGTCCACGGTGAGCTCCCTCGTTGTACGTGTACACCATGCAAGCTCATGAACTTGTATGATATATTTGAATTGAATGTGCATTTCATATGTTTGCTTGCATAGAACAAGTTTAAAATTCAATATTCGTGCTTGTGTGGTGTATGCTAGTCATAGAATTGATTGATAAAATGGAAACTAGCATGCATAGGTCAAGTAACTAGATATATGATTTAATTTTTACAAGTGGTATCTAGTTTTGTGTTTCAAGTGGTATCTAACTTTGTGCTCATAAGTGGTATCTAGTTGTGTTTATTTTTCAAGTGGTATCTAGTTACAAATTGGTGCTAAGGATGGTATATTGGTGCACTCCGATTGGTATCACGCTTAAAAGGTCTATCTTTTATATCTTAGTATTATTTGGTAGACATTGACTCCTATATTGCCTATCTAAGCATATGTGTAAGCTTCAATCCAAACTCTTAGCACATATGTAGGGGGAGCAATAGCTACCAATTGGGGTTCATGAAACTTGTCCAAACTTGTCCATAGCTACCAAATGGTAAATATGCTTGGACAAGAAACATGGATTCAAATGAATTTCATTTCATATATTTGTATAAGGGTTGTCATCAATTACCAAAAAGGGGGAAATTGAAAGCTCTAGTTTGGTTTTGGTGAATTAAGAGATAGGTGGCACATTCTAAGAGGAGCAAGAATGGTGATGATCAAGGTGGATGATGTGACCACAAGTGATCAAGTGCTCAGAGTGGAAAGGAAGAAAGAGAAAAACAAAAGGCTCAAAGTAAAGGTATAATTGGTAGGAGCCATTTTATTTTAGTGATCAAGACACTTAGAGAGTGTGATCACATTTTAGATAGATAGCCATACTATTAAGAGGAGCAAAACTCGTATCGTAATGCAATTGTCAAAGTGCCACTAGATGCCTC